TTGCAAAGGCTGTGGAGGCTGCTTCCAAAATTGCAGTACAAAGAAAGGCCCAACGAGTTTTTGCAGTGGATGGGGGCAATGCTGAGGATGCCTTAGCAGAAGTTGCCGAGGAGGCTGTCGATGATGAGCGTGAGCTCGTTCCAGCATCCGAAGATGATGCCCCTGGTGGAGCGGCCGACATCACCTTCAAGGGGACCATCAATGGAGCTGTTGGGGGAGCGCTTAAAAGGCTACACCAAAACCTCGGCCACCCATCTCAACGAGAACTGGTGAGGCACTTAAGGTTGAGTGGAGCTCCTGCTGAAATGGTAGAAGGTGCCGAGAAGTTGGTCTGCAAGACCTGTGCGAGCTGTGCCCAGCCCAAAGCGCATCGGGTGGCCAAGCCAGCGGCTCTCTTGGACTTTAATGAGGCCGTGGCCTTGGACATCATCTTCCTCGACACTTTGGAGTCGACAGGGGTCCCAGCTCTGAACATGGTGGACTTGGCATCGACCTACCAGGTGGTGGTGCCCATCGAGAATAGGAAGTCTGACACGGTGGCTCAGGCATTCTACCGCCATTGGATTTCATGGGCAGCTGTTCCTCAGTCTTGGACTTAGATACCGCCTTCCAGGATAGTTTTTGGGAGCTCACCTCAGACCACAGCATTAGCATGAAATCGGCTGCCGGACAAGCTCATTGGCAGAATGGAATTGCCGAGAGGTTTGGGCAGTCATGGAAAGATGTATGGAGGAAGGTCTGCAAGCATCAAGGCGTTGGAGATCAAGACCTACATGATGCAGCTGGGGCAGTGAGTGAGGCACGGAACTCCCTGCGCAACAGGAGTGGTTTCTCCCCGAGACAATGGGTCTTCGGGACGAATGGCAAGACCATGGCAAGCCTCGAGGATGACGAGGACTGGAGCGCCCTCAGTGCAATCACCACGGATGAGAAGATGGGGCGAAAGCATGCCTTGAAGATAGCAGCCCGGGCAGCATTCTTCGAGACACAGAATGTCCGGTCCATCAGCAAGGCCTTGTCACATCGAGCTCGGGTGAAGCCCAGAACATATAAGCCCGGAGATATGGTCTATATCTACCGGGATGACCCATCCAACAAAAAGACGAAGGCAAAGTGGATTGGACCGGCAACCATCATTGGAGCAGAAGGCAGCAACTATTGGGCAGCCCGTGGTGGGAGGTGCTTGCTTGCAGCAGGAGAACATCTACGACCCGCTGAGCATGGAGAAGTCTCCTTGGCATTACGAATCCGTGCTGCAATCAAAGAGGTGGAGCAAGCCCTCAACAATGAGTTTGCCGAATTTGCTGATGGGCCAGACGATATGGCAGTCAGTGAGGAAGAAAAATCAACACCATGTGTCCAAGATGTTCCAGCAATGGCGTCCAGTTCCAACATGGAGGTGGATCGAGGTGGAAGAAGACGCAAAGCTGAACAGATCGAGCAGCAACACAAGACCTTGAAAAAGCAGGCTCGGCTTTTGGACGATGTGCCCATGACCTTGAAGTATGGTCCAGCCGGAAGAGCAGCTCAGAACTTCTACACCAAGAATGGACTTTCTGGAGAGGCCTTCGAGAAAGCCCTCGACAAGGAGCTTCCTTGGAATATGATTCCTTTCGAAGAAAAGGAACTCTACAAGGAAGCTGAATTGAAGCAGTGGAAGGAGCATGTGGACTTTGGAGCAGTACGCCCGCTCAGCATCGAAGAGTCCCGGGCGGTGGAATCGACGATCGGCAAGGAACGGATTCTGCCTGCACGTTTCCTTTACCGTGACAAGAACAGGTCGAAGCGGCGGCAAGATAGCTCCATCCCCTGCAAGCCAAAGGCTCGGCTTTGTGTTGGCGGGCAGAAAGATCCTGACCTTGGGCACGTCGAGATGAGTGTGGATGCGCCGACGGCCAGCCGTCATGCAGTGCTGCTTGGACTTTTGCTTGCACTGGCAAGAGGCTGGATGGTGACAGTCGGAGACATCAGGGCAGCTTTCTTGAATGGTGTCGAAGCTCCCCGAGGCCTCTATTTCAGGCAGCCTGTGAGGGGCATTCCTACCCTCGAGAAGGGTCAACTCATTGAGATTGTCAAAGGAGTTTTTGGACTGGCAACTTCACCCAAGTTGTGGTGGCTCAAACTTTCGAGCGATCTCCTGCAACTCCGTCTTCAGGTGCAAGGAGAAATATATGTGATTGAACAGAATGAGATTGACCCATGTGCATTTCGCATCCGGCGTCTCCGAGACCGCCTCATCTGCGGCATGATCTTCACCCATGTGGATGACCTCTTGGTGATGGCTGCCCCAGAAATCTTCCAGGAGGTCAAAGACCGGTTGTCGGAGAAATTTCCGATCGATGAGTGGGAGCAGAACAGCTTTGAGTATGTGGGGTGCGAGTACAAGGTCAATGCAAGGGAAATCCGGATCACACAAACCGGTTACACCCAGACTCGCGTTGAAAAGATCTCCATACCAAGTGGAATGCAAGATGACGAGGAGGCAACGGCCGACTTGGTACTCCGGCACCGGAGTGTGGTGGGAGCATTGTCGTGGCTGGCTAAACAAACTCGGCCAGACCTACAGTATTCTGTGGCCCAAGCTCAACGGGTGCAGAATAAGCCCACCATTGGAGATTTGAAGAATACCAACAAGTTGGTAGATTTGGCGAAGAAGCACTTCGACAAAGGGATCGTCTTGCGTCGAATCCCGGAGGAACACATGGCCATTTTTGCTTTTCATGATGCGGCTTGGGGCAACGTGGATATCACAGAGGTGCAAGATGTAGATCCTCTTTGGGAAGGTGAACATCCACTCGGGTCCCAACTTGGAACTCTGGTGATGGTGGGTGACGATAGATGCATGCAAAACCAGGTGTGTCCAAGCTGCATAGTGGATTGGAGGAGCAAAGCTTCGACTCGTGTGTGCAGGTCGACTTTTGCTGGGGAAACTATGGCGTGTGGTGATGCTTTGGAAACAGCACTTTTCCTTAGAGGGCTTTTGGTTTCATTTCGTGACGGGGAGCTCGTGAGCGAGAAAACGGCAGGAGAACGACTCCCGATGCATCTTTTCACGGACTGCAAGTCTCTCTATGACCACCTTCACAGAGAGGGAGTACCACGTCCTCCTTCAGAAAAGAGGCTGGCAATAGAGTTAGCTGCGATCCGTCAAGCTTTGACAGTTGAAGGACGGCATCAATGGAAGGAAAAGCATGGAAATGGAGAAGTGCGGCCTGATAGGCCATTGAAGGTGCCTCTTCACTGGTTGCCGACGGACAAGCAGTGGGCAGACATACTCACCAAGAAGATGACAAGCACTCTGTGGTGGCAGAGTATTGGTGAAGCGCTGCTGAGTTTTCCTTTTACTGTGCCAAGTCAGTCTTCAAAACGCGAAGACGCCATACCAGTGTGAATGTCACTGACATGTCTTGGCACATATTATTTCCTTTGCAGGTTGCAACATCCATTTGCCAATCTGCGGCCGTGATGGCCCTATCACCTTTTCAGGCACATGAGTAGTTTGCAGGTGAAAAATGTCGAGCGACTGCTTTGCACCGTTGGCACAGCAACAGTTATGTTCTTTTTCTGACTGATTATTTTTTTATAGCAGCTGAAATAACTTTGTCCAATCATCATTGCGGATTTCCGAGAGGATATCTTTGGATGTTCATTGAAATCATTTAATTAAAATACATATATATATATATATGGCTGTGAAATACTCCGATTTCCAGAATTTCTAGGAAACTGTCATGGCTTTTCTGCAATTTCATATACCCTCTGGTAATTTAACATAGCTATTGAAAATTGCCATTGATAGTGGATTTACCCATTAAAAATGGTGATGTTTCATTGTTTTTGGTATGTTTACCAGACGGTAACCAATATTACCCAAAATGGATCAAAATACCATATAAATACCAATGCCATATACCATATAAATACCAGGGTAGTTCATTTCCTTCCGACATGTAAAAACTATGGCGCTGCTGTGAGCGGCTTTTCAGGATCATCCCAAACGGCTTTCTGATTTTTCGGCGGCCACCAGTGTGGCTAAAGTAACGAATAAAGGATCATTATTAGCCTAACATATGTTAGCTAACATTAGTATAAAAACATAATGAATAACTACTATATACGTAATATGCTAGCCACACTAACTGTATAGTTATAATTATACAAATACGGCTATATCATATCTATAATATGTTATTATTATCGTTATTATTGTTTTTATACTAATAAATAAGTTGATTTCTTATGATTCTTATCTATTCAAACTATAGTTATCATCATATCTATATATAATTTTATATGTATATATACGATACACTCAGATGTGCTGGGTGATCCTTTTTAAGTGTCCGGCTGTCGATTCCGGTGATTTTTTGGATCCCTCACGGCTAAACGTCTTTGGAACATCGACTCGACGTAGGAAAAAAGGGAGTTTCCATAGTCCCATAGTCATGGGGGTACATCATCCCAGGTCATGCAGGTATGTTTCTTCACCCCAGTTATTTCAGTGGATGATCACCCAACCTGGTTGGTGGTTTGGAACATGAATTTATTGTTCCATATATTGGGAAGTTCATAATCCCAACTGACGAACTCATATTTAATTCATATTTTTCAGAGGGGTAGGTGGCTCAACCACCAACCAGTTTATGGTGTTTTTCTAAGTTTACAATTTCTATTCCCATTCATGTTTTCAGCATCGAAAAACATGTGACTCTGTGACTCTGTGACATTTCGATATTTCGATACATCGCCACCATGGGAGAATTGGAACATCTGCCAAATATTCTGGTGGTTTCAAACATTAATGGATGGTTAATGGATGGTTAATGGATGGTATAGATGTTAATGAATATCTGGTTGCTGGTTAATTATTGGGGTACCTAAGTTTGACCCATACCCATGTGGGATACCAATGATTATGGATTTTGATAGATTTTCTACATATCGAATCAAGCCTTCTACACTTTTCTAGTCATTCTCTGGTACTTTCGATGCGACGGCAGGTGAAGGCTGCCATGCAACAGCGAGCTCAAGGTATGCTGGATGCTGTGCAAATCGACATCCCTGGATGGGGAAAACCCAGTTACCCTCTGGCAAACTAACATAGCTATGGAAAATCACGGTTTCTAATGGGTAGATCCACTAGAAATTGCCATTTTCAATAGCTTTTTGTATGTTGACCAGAGGGTATGTGAATAAAGCCCAATTTTTTTTAGTTTATAAAACCACCAGAAAAGTGTTAGTTTAGATTCACCCCATGAATACATCCATGAAAACTAGTTCGTTATATCTACCATTAAAACCATAGTTAATTCAGCCACTTATGAGGTATAAAGCCCATCAACTGTAGTTATATCAAGTTATATCTACCATAAACCGTATAGAATTCAACCATTTTTTTTCGGCAACTGAACGCGAGCTCGAACGGGGGCCCCATCCTGTAGAGATGTCTTCAGAGATTGGGGAGGTCTGGGGGTTCAGATCTTTCAGCTGAAAAATGTGTGTGTTTCAGGTGTATGTTCCACCCCTTGCGTTGCGCCTGTGCCTGGTTGGTGGGTTCAAACATGACTGGATTATGTTCCATTTCATATATGGGATGTCATCCGAAACCCATTGACTTTCACTCCATCATTTTTCAAGATGGGCACATTGCACCACCAACCAGTATTGTTATCCCATTATTATCCCATTATTATCCATATTAAAGCCATATAAAACCATATTTTTCAAGATGGTTATTGCACCACCAACCAGTTGTGCGACTGTGATGCCGTTTTCTTCAGATGCCGCTCTGAAGGTTCCGAACTGATCATGGAATATAACACCAACCCTGCATTGTCTGAAGCTGAGCTTGGCAACAAATCGTCCTGTCTCGAGATTTGGAACATTTGGAACCTGAAAATCCTATGCTAATGCCATCATAATGATCATAGAATGCCATCACAAATGTCATCATAGAAAATCCTATAGAATGTGGATATTAATGTTCGGATTGTATATTATATGATATATATAATTCGGATATGGAATTCGGATTGTATACTGAGAAACCTACCTATGGTGCCATGGTGACTGCATTACAATCTTCATAGAATGCCATCATAATGATCATCTGGATAAATTATCGTGACCTCATATCGTGCCGTCACCATAGATCATGGTTTATACGTTGGGAATCATTCCCATTGGTGACCAAAAATGTCACGTTAGTGAAATATCATAGTTTACCCAGATATGATGGATAAATAGAACCATATAATAGATGTTAATGGATGTTAATGGATCTTAATGTTCAGGGATGACATCTATAGTCAATGTTTAATGGATATTTCCGCCGAGGTTGGGAGGCCTTGTGGTGAAGATGGGAGAGGACCGCGAAAGGGCGGGTGGATTTAAGCCTTCAAAATGGGGATGAAACCAACCACTTGATGCAGATATCATGTGATACATATATATATATAGCAACAAAATTGATGAACAGCAAGAACACCATAAAATCACCATGAAATCACCATTTTCCTATGGTTTTCCTATATTTTTTTCCCATGAAATCACCATTTCCATGGCATTTCCCATGGCATTTCCCCATGCGCGGCGCCACGGCGCACGCCACAGGCGGTGTTGGACAACTCGGTCTCGACGCGCCTGGAACGCTTGCAGTCCCAGCTGCTGGCCCCAGTGGCCTGAGGTGCGGGGACTTACCCTGGCAGATAGGGGTTGGAAGACTAGTGAAACCATTAAAAATTTGCTATTTTCAGGGTCTATGTTTATTTACCAGAGGGTAGTGTGGAGATATATATATATAATATAGATAAATATAATATAATATATGGGTATAGATATAATATATATATATGTGTGTGTGTCTTTGAACTTGCCTAAATGTCTATATGTCTATGTGTATCTATGCGTGTGTGATGTGTTTTTTATGTGTCCTCGATGAAATCCATCCCATCGAAGAATCTGGCGGGTGACCTGGATTCGTCGCTGAGAGCTGTGGGGTAAACAACGAGAATTCGAGGGTTTTGACAAAGCCTTGGGGATTTGACTAAAGATGACATAGCCAGCAGCAGTTGGTGGTGAAAAAAGTATAGATGACCCACCAAGATCAGGAATTCAACCAGAAAGCTAGTTACTTACCAAAAAAATCGAGTTGTTGGGAGTTTGAGTCGCAAGAATGGGGTTTTTCAGAGTTGGATGTTCACTGTATCACCAACTTTTTGGAAATATGTCGGCCCAGAAAGTGTGTGCTACAAAATGGGATCCTCACATCATTGGGGCAACTAATCCTTGGTTCACATCATTAAAATCTGGGTAAATTTCATCACTACCGAAGCCTGTTCTCCCGAACCCTGGTTGATCATGGTTAATAATATAAAGAAATGATCCCCTTTTATGGCCTTAATGCCCAACAATTCAGGTTAGTGAAGTCTTATAATTTACCCAGATTGAAATCTTGGTGGATGTCGTCGCAGTTTTGAGACGATCATGTCAAGTGTCGTCGTGAAGAACCGACAGCCTTGCACATCACAACGCCAAGACCTTACAACCAGAATTGAGGTGAATGCCAAAAGCCTTCCTGGTTGGTGGTTTGGAACATGAATTTTATGACTTTCCATATATTGGGAATAATATTCCCAACTGACTTTCATACCACCAACCAGCTTCAAATTGAGGATGCCGGTTTAATGAGAAAGGCAAAAACAGGTAAAACCGGGAATCGCAGAGAAATTGACGTTCTGACTCATGAACTCGGAGCTATAAGTGTAATGTATATTCATGTGCTGAACTCAGAACTATATATCCTGAACCACATGTGTGTTTGCTTCATAATGTAGATATATATATATATACATATATTATTCAGTTTTTATATACATATAATATACACTAACTAAGTACTAGTATTAACGCTTAACTATCAACTCTTAACTAAGTTCTCTATAAACTGTTCACATCGATTCACTTTGAATTTCTAACCGGGATGTTTGACCTCGCGGCAGGTGAAGTGAGTAGAATCTGAGATATGGACGACGGGCTTCGAAAACAATGCGTGTCGCGCCAGCTGCGCTGCGCACACCCCACGGAGATCGCCCAGGGAAAAAAGTGGATTGCTTAGTTAATAGTGGTTAATAGTGGTTAATAATGGTTAGTAATGGCGAATGGATCATGAAAACCGTTGGTGAATTATTAAGAGACTATTAGCTAAGTGATATCCCATTAAGGGTTGGAATGATATGTATCATTATTGATGGTGAATTATTTTTGGAGGGTCATCCCCGGAATTGTAACTGGTTGGTAAAATGTTCAAAACCACGGTTGATTGATGATGTTCTATACTAGTGGCTCATGAGTAGGTTAGTTCAAAACCACTTACTAAGTTAGGTTAGTTCACCCTGTTTTTTCAGTTTTGCTTAATCCCACTTCTCCATTTATAACTAGGATACAACCTACTTGCTATACCGTGGGATATACCGTTATGGCCTTTTTCGGCTTTTGCAACTCACCTACTGTTACGAAGCATCCGTGGGATGATCCTGAAAGATAGAAAAGCCATTAAAAAAAAAAAACATAAAAACCATAACTTAAATAACTATCCAGTGGTGAACAATAACTATAGAGGGAGCGATTTGGAGCTATGGCTATTCATATTCCCTATTTTTCATGGGGAGCGATTTGGAGCTACCAAGAGTTTCCCAACCACATACTAGATAAACCATCTCCAGAAAATAGTCCAAATAATTATAGATATATTCATAAACTATAGAAAAACCATGGCAAATCAACAACATATTGGGGGTTCTCCAAGGGGAAAATCGGATTAAAAACTCAGCTGCTACTTTCCATACCGGTGACCTGACACCTGATTCTCAATTCGCCATGGGGGATTAGAGTTGGGTTGTTCCAGTGGTTTGAGAGAAGGGAATGCGATGAGCATTGGGAAGATGTTTCCTTTGACTCCGGTGAAATTCTCCACAGTGTGAGGGGGGAAACATGGCAAGACAGAACCAGTGATTGTTCCGAAACCGCATTCTTTGCCCCAAAGTCCATTCTTCAGCTTCTCCAAGTAACCTTGGTGGCAAGTTGATGACTTCTTAGAGTGTCATTTTGATGGGAAAACGACAAAAGGTATGTAAGGTGAGCCCTTGGCATATCTTGGCATATCGGAAATCAGGTGTCACTCTCAACCAAAAACATTTTTTTCTGGAAAATGAGCCAGAAAATTCACCAAATTACTGGTTAACTCACATGTTACAAATCAATACATGGCTATCTCATGGTTAAATACCATTAAGTACTGGTAACCATATGTTTTAACCATAAAATTAACCATGAATTCCTGGTGGCTTCACAGTTCTCATGGCAAAATCAATACGCGGGATGATGATCCCGAGACTTCTCGCAGCAGACCTGTTTTTCTGAGCGCGGAGATGTTGATCCCATGGTTCTGAACGCCACCCCTAAGAATGGCTCAGTAACATGAATTTTATTTGTTCCACATAATTATTGGGAATAGTCATCAATATTCTGGTTGGTGGTTGATAATCCGCAATATGGTTGACAATTGGGATTGACAAGGGACTGAATATGGCTACTAGCCACACACACCCCTAATGGTACAACCAATGGGATTTGATTGTCTCAATCAATAGGAATTTATTGATTGGTGGTTTAAGGAACATGAATGGATTATGACTTTCCATTCAATTGGGAATGTCATCATCCCAACTGACGAACTCATATTTTTCAGAGGGGTAGGTCAACCACCAATCAGTATATCTTGGGCTACTCCACGAACCTTTGGAATCCCCTTCTCAAGAAACGTTTTGGCTCTTCAACCCGCAAAAAACGCGGGATGATATTATCTGGTTGGTGGTTTCAAACATAAATTATGTTCCATAATATATGGGATAACCCTTCCCATTGGCTAATATTTTTCAAGATGGTTCAAACCACCAACCAGTTACAATAGTTATCATGAATAGTTATCTATATATATATATACACATACACACCATTCCCGCAGTATTAAGTCTGGATATTCATGATGTCAATGAATTCATATCAATATAAATCCATCATATTCAATGATTATCCCATTATATATTATACCGATATTGGTATATAATATACCATTCCAAAATCGGAATATGAATCTCCAACGATTCTGGAAATATCTTTATAGATATGTATCCCATTCATATAAAAAACAAATCAACCAATACGCAAGTAATGGGATATATATATATATATACAATATGTAAATCAATATGAATGGATAATGTATATATATATACCTATATATGTATATATCAATACCCAAGTATATATATATATACATATATATATATATATCAATACCTATGTATAATAATATCGTATATTGATATATATATATATACATATACATATATACATATATACCTATATACCTATATACCTTTATACCTATATATCACTATCTATATACCAATCAGCTGATGTGTCTATCCCAGGTATCTGGCCGAAAGCTGGCAGCCAGGGACCTACCTGGAGCTTGGGAGCGGCACAGGGCTGGTCGGACTGAGCTGTGCCCTGTGGGGAGCCGAGGCCCCCGATGGTCGAAGCTTCATCCCCCCCGAAAACATTGGAGGTAGTGTACAGGATGGTGTAAGGGTGGATTTGAGGCATCAAAACTGGTCAAGTGATCAACAAATATACAAGGTGGGGCCCCCTAGTTATAAGATGGTTTATAAACCCCATTAACTATAGTTATATCTGCCATAAACCATAGTTATGGGAGTTATAAACCAACTTAGCTAACTATGGGGCACCACCTTGTACCATATAAGGCCATATTTTCTGGGGATATTCCCTGAAATTTAGGCCTAAAAAATAGGCCTTACATATGGTAGGTACCCTCTGGTATTTAAACATAGCGAACTGGAAAATCCATTCTAAATGGAGGTTTTATTGGGAAAATCATCTATTTTTATGGTCCATTTTCCAGTTAGCTATGTTAAAGGATCCTGGAATTATGGTATTGGTATTATCATATAATTACCATATAAATACCAATGCCATTTGCCATATGTGGCCATGGATCAATACCTACAATGTGAGGCCCCCCAGATATCTAAGTGGTTTATAACCCCAATAACTATGGTTTATGGTACGCAAATAACTCTAGTTACTGGGGCTGGAAATGGAAATGATAAAGGGGTACCCCATTTATGGAAACCGCCAGATCAATAAATGATTGTAAATGGGGATGCACTCAACAAACCTGTTCTGTGCTTGGTACAGGATGGGACTGCCGTTCCATAGCGTTCAGTTGCCTAAAAAAAGTGGCTGAATTCTATGGTTTATGGTAGATATAACGAACTAGTCAATACAGGTTATACTGATCTATAAACCAACTTACAACTGGGGGCGCCATCCTGTATTGATCCATGGCCATATATGGCATATGGTATTGGTATTTATATGGTATTTTGATCCATTTCGGGCAATATTGGTTACCCTCTGGTAAACATACAAAAAACTATGGAAAATCATCATTTTTTATGGATAAATCAACTATAAATGGCCATGTTCAATAGCTATGTTAAATTAACCAGAGGGTATATATTGACATCAAAATAGCAATGGTGACCCTCTGGTAAACATACAAAAAGCTATTGAAAATGGCACATTCACAGTCGATTTACCCACTAAAATTGTGATTTTCCACAGTTATGTTAGTTTGCCAGAGGGTATAGGTATTGGGTATATGATATATGCTATTTTGGATAATAGTGGTCAAAAAAAAATGTATTTGGTATTTAGCAATTATAGGTAGTATTTAATGGTCAAAACCATGTACCACTGGTTCATCGTCCTAAATGGTATTAGAGGTATTGACCCATGTATTTATATATACGGTAACGACATTTAAATATGCGGAGGGTGGGCCAAACCGCGAGGCCCCGGAGGTAGTATGAAATACAAGTTCGTATATTTAAATGTAGTTACGGTATGTTTAAATGAATTGGATTTCGTATGTTTAAATGACTGGGCGGGCCAAGGAAAACCTCCTCGGAGGTAGTCTAAAATACCTGTTCGTATATTTAAAAATCTGTATATTTAAATGTAGTTACCGTATATACATATATATATATATATGTATATATATATGTGTATATATATATGTGTATATTTATATATATATGTGTATTTATATATATATGTATAAGTTGTTGATGATGTTGATATGTATATGCGTAAGTTGTTGATGATGGTGCAACGAAAAAAACTGTAGTGTATATTCACACTAATGGGACAACATTATTAACACAACTACTAACTAATAGGTATGATCCGTCGATCGCACAAAAGAAGGCACTTATATATTATATTGCTACTATTATTAGTGTTAAATGGGATGATGTGTATATATATATAATCTTTACATGAATGGAATAGAATGATTATTAATATGATCACCCCATTTCGATAACAGATATTATCATATATTATCCCATTGACATTTTCATGCATATAGTACTATTACTAACTTATTTATAGATGCTATTAACACTATTATGGATACTATGAACTATGATACTATTATGATAGATACTATTAGTGTGATACACTGTTACTACCAACTTTAACCTAAGAATGACAACATTAACGAACTATTAACTAGCTATAACTATTGATTAACACTAATTATATGTATAACTATAATCAATGCCATTCATTAAAAACCTGGCGGTATTATACTATTACTGGTTGGTGGTTTGGAACATTTTCTATTGTTCCATATATTGGGAATTTCATCATCCCAACTGACGAACTCATATTTTTCAAGATGGTTAAAACCACCAACCAGTAAAACCAACGCAACTATGGAAGAACCAGGCGGTAGTATACTATAACGTTGGTTATAACTGAGTACCCTCTGGTAAACTAACGTGACTATGGAAAATCACCATTTGGAAATAGGCAAATCCACTTTCTATGGCCATGTTCTATAGTTTTTTTGTATGTTTACCAGAGGGTATATTTTTTTATTTTCGTCCCAACTGACTTTCAGATTTTTCAGAGGGGTAGGTATACCACCAACCAGATTATTATGCTGGTTATACCTAAGTAATTCCAATGGCCATTTCAGGAACCTAAATTGGAGGTACCTACCATATATAAGGCCTATTTTTCAGGCCTAAATTTCAGGGAATATCCCTACAAAAATATGGCCAAACATATGGTACAAACGTACCTCCATCAATTGGATCCTGAAATTCCCAGTGATATTTTGGGGATAAGATATCCCTAGATATATCCCTAGATATCCCTACCCTATATATGGCCTATTTTTCAGGCCTAAATTTCAGGGAATTCCCATTGAACCATGGTATACATAGAAATATATAATGATCCTATATATATATATATTGGGATAATATACCAATCAGCTGATGGTATGTTTACCAGAGGGTATGTATATCTATATATATATAGCTATATCTATCTATCTATCTATCTATCTATCTATCTATCTATATATATATATATGGCCTATGGAAGGCCTAAAATTCAGGGAATTCCCATTGATAATTCATCGATCTGCCTGACGAAGATCGCCAGGTTTGCCTCAGCGATCTGCCTGACGTCACGGCCTTGTTGCATTTCAACGTGGCCTTGAACCGAGCTCGTGGCCTAACACTGGACGTCCAGGCGCCGAAAAAATTGGCGCTGGGAAAAACCCTGAAAAAAGAGGGGAAATGCTGGGTTTAACCGGGTTTAACCATGAAAAATGGTGGGAAATGCTGGGTTTAACCATGAACAATGGTGAAAAATGGTGGGAAATGCTGGGTTTAACCATCAAAATGGTGAAAAATGATGGTTTAAGCATGAAAGAAGAAGGAGAAAGTGTGGTTGAAGCCTTGAAAATTGGGAAAATGTATGAAAATGTGTGATTCAAGGATGACTTGGAAAAGAACTGTGGTGTAATTATGGAAAATGAACATTTTTGTTGGGGATAACGATAGGACAAGAATGGGATATACAGGATACTTGGGTGTCTCTGAAAATCCAATAGATCCTCCAATTTATCGCAAATTCAACAGAGAGAATATGATGAGCGGATGGCACGGGAGTTCCCCTTAAATGATCCGACAAACCCACATTTGCTGTTTGTTTCAAGTCGGGTGACCATCCAAAATGGTGAATCATCAAAGTTAGGCTACCCTCCATCGAACATGGCTACTTGGGAAACCCCCGAACTAAATTCAGGTTTTAATGGGAAAGTCAACTGCAAACGGGAGAGTTTGTTTGTTGCCATGTTTGATTACCAGAGGGTAACCATCATTTCTTTTGAGTTTTTGTTGGCGAATGGGCATGGATCAAAAGGTCGACCCCATCTGGCTATTCGGTCGGTGCATGGGGCTTAACCTGCGATGTTGGAAAAAAAAATATCATAGACACTGTATAGCAGATGAAAGTTCCTGAAATAGGGGTACCCCCAGTTCTCATCCATTTTTGATTGGGATGTTCCATGAAATAAACCATCCAGCGATAAAGGGGTACCCCCATTTATGGAAACCGCCAGATCAATAAATGATTGTAAATGGGGATGCATTCAACCAACATGTTCCGTGCTTGGTACAGGATGGGACCGCCGTTCCATAGCGTTCAGTTGCCTTAAAAAAATGGCTGAATTCTATGGTTTATGGTAGATCTAACGAACTAGTTAACGGATGTTAATGGGGTTTACAAACTAACAAACACAACTGGGGGGGCGCCATCCTGTAACTTCATTGATATTTAAGGTGTTTTTTATGGCAACCATAACGTGGGGATGATGAAGCCCCAAATGACGGCTCAATTAAGAGACCAGATCCTCACTAAGAACGGGTTTCATCTGTCAAAACTGACCCGTTGATGTTTGAGTGTTTTATTCCCCACATCATTATGTGGGGTTCTAATTTATTGCATTCAAATACATACCTTCCGTTCATAACAATCGGAAGGCTTAACATGTGGGGTGATCTGGTCCTTTAATTTGTTTAGTGTTTCAAGCCATGCAATAAAAGATTGGTTGGTGGTTTCAAACATGTGTTATTTTCCATTTTCTATATGGGATGTCATCCTTCCCATTGACTTTCATATTTTTCAGAGGGATAGGTCAACCACAAGCCAGAAGAGATTGTGGATGTGTAAGTCATGGGTTCAGTACATTTGAAGCTTCAAGTGTTGTTTTGCTTGAACCCGCGGGGCAAAAGGAAAGAAACCTGACATGCTCAAGGTACATTCCTAATGGTTTGGCTTCACAGGTTAAATGCTTCACAGGTTCCATTCTAATCCAACTTCTATTGACAATTCATGATAATTATCCCATTACAATTATGCAATTTAACAATTATCCCATAGTTTATATTCCATTGATAATAGTTAATCCCAAAATCCCATAATTTCCATTAATCCCATAACCCCACATTATTCCCATTATTGATGTTTTTGTTATCCCATATTATCCCATATTATCCCACTTCCAATTACAATCCCAGCAACTCCCATGGAGAGTCAAGGAGCAAATCCCATATGATTCTCCCTTTTTTTGTATCACACGGTTCCATTCATTGGTCATGATTATTCCAGTATTACGCCACTGTCTTCCACTTATTATTATTATCATATTAGTTTTATGATTGTTATATTATTATTGTTGTTATTATTAGTGTTATCATCATCGTATGATTATTTATTGATTATGTATTATTACAGTAATTACACTATTCCCTTGATATTCCGTTGTGATTCATGATGATCACCGGTGATTCTTTTAAAAAAATAATCCCATGATAACCCCCAGTAAACCCCCATGATGATCACACTTTTTGATCATCATGTGATACCCTCTGGTAAATTAACAGTTCGACCCTGGCATGACTTGGGGGTTGGAAGATTAGTGAAACCATTAAAACTAGGCTATTTTCAGGGTCCAACTGTTAATTTACCAGAGGGTATCACATGATGATCCCATGATGATCAGTACTATGATTACAAGCGTCCATAAAAATTGCTTTCATCATGGGGTCATCATAGTGATGCGATAAAGTTTACTATCATGAAATAGTCCATGAAAGTTGCCATCCCATGATATGAACATGTTCCATATGATATTAGTTTATAGAAAAATATCAATCATTAATAGTCCATATCATTTATATTAATGGACTAAGTTATATAGTCCATTAGTATAAATGATGTGGCTATATCCCATAAGTTACTATCCATTCATGTTCCATTGGGATCCATTGGGATGTTCCTATCATTTCACGAGGTGATTCCCCACGAGTGGGGCACCGATCTTCCACCGGACCTGAACAAATCGCTGGACGTGGTGGTGACGTGGCGACGATGCATGGATTTGTTTATTGTTGTTACTATGGATTTTTATTGTTGTTACTATGGTTTATTGTTGTTGTTACTATGGAACATGGCGTTTATGGTAGATCTATTGACAAACTTACTATGGGAATATTCATATGGGAATATCATATAATATATCTGGTTGGTGCCTGGAACATGTTGTCCATATATTGGGAACAATCACCCCAACTGACGAACTCATATTTTTCAGAGGGGTAGGTATACCACTAACCAACTATGATTATTGTGATGAATTTGGTTAAAACAATAATGAATAATAAACCACTCATTTGGGAATGGTTTATAGCACCTATGTATGGTGATTTGGGGGATGATTTATTATTGTTTTGACCACATTGTTTTATTACTATATTTATTATTGTTATTATTGTTATTATGTGTTTTTTATTTTTGTCACTTGTTAAGTGTTCTGATTATTAGTGCTAGATGTATGATTCTTTACTATCTATTGTGTCACTTTATTGTTGTGTGCTATAAATAATGATCAATTATATCATTAATGTTATTTCATTTTATGATCCGCATTAATGATATCATTAATGTCATTATTGTTGCGTTCAATATTGTTATCATTATTGCTTTTGCAAATGTGATGAGTAACTACCAACAACTACTAATCCCTTCCCCCGTTCAGCCCTTAAACACCCCCAGAATCAACATGGTGGGTGTAAGGGATAAAAACACATATTTGGGAGCATACAATGGGGGTGCCCTAAAAATGCATGCTAATTTCATGAAATGAATTGGTATCCATGGCGATAAAACCAAAGTGATGAAAAGTGATTCAACCATCATCCAAAATTGGGATTTCACCATCCATCATCCAAATTTCAACCATTCAACCATTCAACCATTCAACCATCCAATTTCACCATTCATTTCACCACCAAAATTGGGAGTTTCACCATCCAGGTTCAAATCCAATGAAATTCATGGTGGTCTTTCTGATTTGAAGTTTTTTTTCATCAGATCATGTCCCAATTGGGTGAGAACATCAAGCCATTTTCATGGAATCAATGGGATTTTTCGATGTTCCTGGAAATTTTCATGGCAAGTAGCCGACTTTGGAGTTCCGATGAAACTGAGTTTCAGCCAAGCATTTCCTTGGGAGGTTTCGATGGGACAGATTTCTATGCCATTGTTAGTGGATGTATATCCAGGCCCAGAAGGAGATTCCTGAGTGATACTCTCTAGTAATTTAACAGTTTGCTATGGAAAATCACCATTTTCCATGGGTAAATCCACTATTTCTATGGCCATTTTCAATAGCTATGTTAAATTACCAGAGGGTAAATGATATGTGTATCTTTTCGCATGGTGCGATAGATTAATCTAGTGGCATACATTGGCAAATTGGACAATTTTCGGAGGAAACCAAAAAGATGACCTGGAATTCTTGAAGATGAGTGTGACAGTTTTCCCAGTTGATTAATCGTTGATTCATCCAACCATGGCAACATGGGTCATTGGGTCCAAAGATCACATCATGCCCCAAGGATATGGTTCATCCCATTTACTGAGTAGGTGATATCCCTGGTTGTTTCAGGAGTAGGATGATCATCCACTGAAAAAACGAAGGTTCTAAGGTTGTAGTCTACTAAGTGGGATGAGCTTCAAAGTATGTTACATTGGAGTTGTTCACACTTCGGAGACTGAGGTGATGGCGGATTTGGTGTATGTTTCTTGGACACCCAGTTGAGTAAAATCAATGGCCATTCTAGGAATTTTTCAGGCCTATGTAAGGGAATATCCCAGCAAAATATGGCCTTACATGGTGTATAAACACCCATGAAGACTAGTTCGATATGTCTTCCAGAAACCATGGTTAATTCACCTCTTTATTAAGCCACCAACTTAGCTATCACAGATCAGCGATAAATCCCATGAAATTCCCATTGATAAAATGGTCAGGTCATCCTGCAATTTCTTTGGTTTGCTGTTACGCCGAGTTGCACGGGATGAGATGATGGAAAAAATTGCCCCCCCAAAGACTTCTTGGTGGGAAATTCATGTGGTTAAACCTATGCCATATTGACAAACTTACTATGGGAAAATTCATATGGTAATATCATATATAATATATCTGGTTGGTGGTGACTGGAACATGAATGGATTATGACTTTCCATTCAGTTGGGAATGTCATCATCCCAACTGACAAACTCATATTTCATATTTTTCAGAGGGGTAGGTATACCACCAACCAAATATGATTATTGTGATTAATGTGGTTCAACCAATGCCATTTTTACAACCCATGACTGGGAATGGTAAACATAGCACCTATAAAAATGGTGATGACTGGGGGATGGTTTATGATTGTTTTAACCACACTAATCCAAGAACAGAACATGTCCCGTTGGTTTTTCACCAACCAGTATTTCATGTATTTCATGGAGGGATTTTGAACACTGCTCTGCAGCAAACTTGATTCGCTTTTGAAGTTTCACCAGTGACCTTTTGTTGATTTACCTGTGGGGTTCAGCATGGAACTTCGAACATGGAATACATCCCCACTTTCTTGATCTTTCTTGCCAGTTTAATGGGAAAGATGCCTAGATCAATGAATGGATTTTTGGGGGGTGCCCTATTTTTAGACCCAAAATGTGGAATGGGTGACTCAACCAGCTGTTCACACGTGAAACAGGTGTCACCAGTTGAGAAACGGGTCAGTACTTAAGCACCAGATCCAGCAATGTAGACCATACTTTTTGTAAAATGGTTCGTTTGCTGGTAATATCACCATTTTGAATAGGTTAATCATGGTTAATAATGATTAATACTGGTTGCTAGGTCAATCTTAGATGGGTACAAACTAATCCGTTAGTCTTTTGATATCAATGGGAATATCCACTTTCACCAGCAAAGAATTTGTCATTTTTTGCAGGGTATCTAAGATTGGCAATGTTAATAAACATCCTTTTTACTATGGAAAATCTATGGAAAAACATTCGGGGAGATGGTTCATGTTTCTGTTCTTGAAGCAAATCCAAGTTTAGATGATAAATATCCATCAACAACAACCAAGTGTTGGTGTAAAGCTTACAGAGTACCAAATATGTCAAAATGTGAATGACCCCAAATGTTTGGTGAAACATATAAACAACTGAAGGTTACAATGTGGCAAACCCAATAAGTAAATGGGTGGTAAACACCATCCCCAGTCATGGTAGGTCTATGGCATTGGGTTTCCCACTTTAGTTAATTATTCCAGTTCATTCATTATTTAATTATCCCAGCTAGAATTTATTGCATATTTACACCGCAGTTTAAATCCATCAAGTATAGGTGACTGACACAAACGTGGAGGTGTCCCCAGAAAATGCTGGGTACCCCAGTTATCATCCAGTCGTCATGGACGATCACTTCGTATTGGTCAACATTGGTGACGTGGGGACCCGTAAAACTACCATCAGTATTAACCATTCATAACTGGTTGGTGGTTTGGAACATTAATGGATTATGTTTTCCATCATATTGGGAATGTCATCATCCCAACTGACGAACTCATACTTTCAGAGGAGTAGGTCAACCACCAACCAGATAAATATAAAGAACCCATCAAACCATCATTCAAAAACCGTCAATTAACCCATCAAGTCTTGCGGACTCGACGACTCGACGAGGACGTCGAGGCTTCGAGGCAGTTGCTGGTGACCTTAATTGCTTTGGCCGCCGCTCACCATCAGCTGCAGTTCGTCATGGCATTTCGTCCTCGAAACTTAGAGGAGAAACGCCAAAAAGCATCCAAAAAACCATGGGGTCCTAGCGACGTTTGCTAGGGATTCATAGTGATTTTCATAGGGATTAAACCAATGTTATAAAACATTGGGGAGTTTCAAATATCGTTCATCATGGCTGGTCATAAATGATTCCATATCATGGGAATAATTACTGATGCCTATAATGATTGAAATATGGTGGATTATCCTTGAACATACGTGTATATATATATATATATGCACATATATATATATATATATATTGGATGAATTTGATCATGACCGAAGTTCGGTCGGCTTTTTTTCGTCATTGGTGGTGAATTCAAGGGGAATCATCCCCATAGCTGGCCCATGAAATCCCATAATGTCTAGGATCTTCAGCTGGAAAACCCGGGTTGTTTTACTATGGAAAAACATTGGGTTTACCCTGCAGTGAACTAACATAGCTATGGTATGCCCAGGAATAGTTCGATGATTTGTTAGTTCGATGGCGATGTTCCATAGCAAACTCTGAGTTTACCAGAGGGTACTCCAAATATCTGCATGGTGGAGATCCTCTGGTAATTTAACAGTTTGCTGTGGAAATCGCCAGTTTGTCATAGGTAAATCCTCTATGAATGGGCCATATTCATCCATTTTCCATACAGGATGGGGCCCCCCAGTTATAAGTTGGTTTATAAACCATTATAACACCCATTAACTATAGTTATATCTACCATAAACCATTGTTAAACTACTTATAAACCAACTGAACGCTATCTTGGGGGCCCCGCCCTGTAGCTTAAATGACCGAAGCTGATTGGTGGATTTGGTCGAATTGCTAGGATCCAGAGTTCTTCAGAGAATTGTCGAAGCATTTTGACCTCGCCCCGCAAAGAAGTTCCGGGGTCTATGGCCAAATGTGCTATGCGACTTGGGCGTGAAAGAATGGTGGATGACTGCAGTTGAGTGAGTTAGGATGAATCGAAAATCCCAGCGAAAATTGGCTCATTGATATCTGACATCTGACAACATCATCCAAAATGGCCGGGTTGCCATGTGAATTTTACCCTCTGGTTATGACATTCACAGTTCGCCATGGTTTTTTGATGGCCCATAGTTAAATAGATGGTTTACCGAACTTAAAAATGGTGGATCTTTCCATGGCAAACTGTTAAATAACCAGATGGTAGACATAGAAGATATGTGCAAGTGACTTAATACTCTGTTGTTTCACTGTGCGAGGCCTTTGCTTTGAAGAAAACAGCTAGGGAAACATGTGGTTTGCCACCCCCAGTTTGGGGTCCACTGTTGAAAGCGGAGCTTGGTGATGTTCAACCTCTCAAAAATAGCATCCCATGTCTTGCAAAAGGTGAGTTTCACAAGGTCAGATTGCGATGTAAATGGGGAAAAATATCTTCTCAAACAACCATCTGGCGAACATGGGGATACCCGACATGGGCAGAACATTAGTCAGACAACCCGGGCCAGAAAATTCTTCCCCATGGACGGTCGCGATCCAAGGACGTACAAATTCTTCGATTGACAGCGAAAGCGAAGACCGACAAAGACCTCTTCGATTGTCATCCGAAGTCCGGGTGACACATCGGTTGATCATTTAAGTGATCGCGCAACGATGGTGTCCATTTTTTTTGGTGCGTTTGCGCCGAAAAACATTAGAAAGCAGGCTGGTTGGTGGAATGGAACATGTTTTTTCCATTCAGTTGGGAATAATCATCCCATTTGACTGTCATATTTTTCGGATGGGTAGGCCAACCACCAACTAGCAGGTCCAGATTAGAAAGCAGGTTTCAAGCAAAATCTGAGAAACACTGAGTGTTTCTGATGTCCATACGTCGATCCTCACAAAGCTGGGGCTTCCCAATTCTTTGGGCTCAACCGCTGGAAATTTAAGGCAGAGCCGTAACGGACTTCTCCGTTGTGATTTGCCCATAGGAAGCTGCTGCAGCTGAAATCATGGAGAAAATCACTTTTCGGCATCTTCTGGGGTACCTGGCCTGGTAAACATACAAAAAGCTATTGAAAATGGTCATAGAAATAGTGGATTGTCCCATTAATAGCATGGTGGATCTTTCCGATTTTCCATAGTTGCTTGTATGTTTACCAGGCCGGGTATACTGTATCCTATCAACAGGGCAGATGCCATGATTTTCGTCACTTGACGTCAGAGCAAAAAGATCACAGGTCTTTCGCAAAAACAGCTGAAGTTACCCGGTTTTTTCAAACGTGGCAAGCTGGAAAATCAACGACAAAAATTGCGTTTTTTTTGCAAATCAAGTTATTTCCATGGAAGATTGTCCATCACCATGATTGTTATTTTTTCCGGCAGACTCACAGCCAGAAAATGGTGTCATATTCAGAAACCATCGGGTTAACCGTTAAAAATCTATGGAAAATCTATGGAAAATAATCCATCAGTGAATCCATTGCTGAATCGGTGCACTTCAGAAACCATCAGTTCAGAAACCATATGATTTATCAATGGAACTTTGGTGAATCCATTCTAGGTCAATCTGCTGGATGGGTACTTTAATCCTTTAGTCTTTTGATATCTGGCTGGGAATTTCCACTTTCACCAGCAAAGAATTTGTCATTTTTTGCAGGGTATCTAAGATTGGCAATGCATTGGTAAATGAAAATCATTGGTAAATCATCAAAAATCCACTGCCGTCGCAGGTCACCACCGGTTCTGGGAGGTGGTGCACGTCCAGAGCTCTGTTGAGGATCCAACGTCAACGCGAGAGTTTTGACCCCAAAGAAAATAGGAAGGTCATGGCTAACCACACGAAACACATCAAAACCTCCATAGGTCAATTACCTACAAAAAAAAACCAATTATTCTAGAGGGTAAGGTTTGCTGATCTGAAATTATCCCAATATCTGAGCTTTTCAGGTGTTTTTCTATGGCGTTTGACCTTCACGCTTCAGCCGGCTGTTCGGGAATCAGGTCCGGTGATGTGTTATCCTGATCCACATTCCGCGGCGGGACCCAATGGTGGTCTTCCCTTTCGTCCTGGCCTCAATTTTGAGGCGATGGATTCAACTAGGAAGATTTTCATGGGGAATTCAACCTAGATTTTATATGATTTTATATGATTTTATGGCCATAATAAGGGAATTGATGATCTAAACCCTGGGATTTCTTCGGGATTTCTCGGGAGATGGGATGATTGTTGGTTATGTTCGACCAGCCATGTCACTTGTCAGGATGCTATGGCATGGTGGGATAGCCCAGATTCAACGGGATTCCGTCAAAATGGCGTGCTTTGGGGTTGTTTTTGAAGCTAGGGAGAAATTGAGACATGGGAGAAATTGGAGGATCTTGATTGTTGCAGACAGTTTCAACCATGTGAAGAGAGAAAGCACGTTGTGTTGGACAGGTTGCATGCTTCAGAGATGTGTGTTTTTGCACGTTTCCATGAAATTCTTCCCAAGTTTTCCCATTGTAGGGATAATTATCAACTATCAACCATCAAAAGTACAGCATCAATATCAACTCGTCAAACACTAAGCATTGCCTATTGGATAAAAAACCCATTAGTGAACATCGCTTATTGATAGTTAGTTTGCTTTATTGAAGACGAATAGCTCATATTGGTTACAGTGGTGAACACCAAAAAATGCTTATGGATTTTCCATGGAATGAGAGTTAAGCGTTTTTGGTTTAAACACTATTATATAAACATTATTGATAATAAACATTGTTAGAGTGATAAAAATAAACATTATTGGTTAAAGCCTTAGTTATTCAACACTAACATTACACTTTAAAAAGAATGAATGATTCATACTATCATATACTAATGATTTGTATATGACTCATACTATCATATACTATCATATACTATCATATAATTACAAATATGTGATGGTTTGGTACAATCATATACTATCAAACTATCATAATCATAATCATATACTATCATATACTATCATATACTATCATATACTATCATATACTATCATATACTAAGCATATACTAAGCATATACTAAGCATATACTAATCAACACTATATATTTATATACATTATTAGAGTGAAAAAAATAAACATTATTGGTTAAAGCCTTAGTTATTCAACACTAACATGACACTTTAAAAAAAAATGAATGATTCATACTATCATATACTAATGATTTGTATATGATTCATACTATCATATACTATCATATACTATCATATACTATCATATAATTACAAATATGTGATGGTTTGGTACAATCATATACTATCAAACTATCATAATCATAATCATATACTATCATATACTATCATATACTATCATATACTATCATATACTATCATATACTATCATATACTATCATATACTAAGCATATACTAAGCATATACTAAGCATATACTAAGCATATACTAATCAACACTATATATTTATATACATTATTAGAGTGAAAAAAATAAACATTATTGGTTAAAGCCTTAGTTATTCAACACTAGCATGAAACTTAACAAAAAAATGAATGAATCATACTATCATATACTAACGATTTGTATATGATTCATACTATCATATACTAGTGATGGTTTGGTACAATCATATACTATCAAACGATCATAGCCATAATCATATACTATCATAATCATAATCATATACTAATCAACACTATATATTTATAGTATTAGTATATGATAGTATATAATCAAACCATTAATCAAACCATTAACCATAGTTTATACTACTAATTAGTTTATATACTTAATCATATATGGTAGGTACCTCCAAGTTAGGTTCCTGAAATGACCATTGATGTATGTTCAGACATATTCACCGCATCCAGTTCCTATTTTATGCTATCATATACTAATCAACACTATATATTTATATACTTCATCATAGCCAAAGCATCACTTTTTTGCTGTGTCAAACTCACGCGTTGAATCCGCCCAGGCGATGTTGCAAGACTCTGCTGAAGCCGTCAGAGGTCCGTTTTCTGGGGAAATTTTCATGCGGCTGAACCATCAATCGTAGTGGTTAATAATGGTTAATAATGGTTAATGGTCAATCATAGTGCTGAAGAATGGTTAATAATGGTCAAAAATGGTTCATAACCAATAATAATGGTTAATAATGGTTAATAATGGTTAATAATGGTTAATAATGCTGATTATGGCGATTATTCAATAGGCAAATGATGCTTTAACATGCTGGAAAAACCATCAATCATTGTGCTGAGAATTTGGGAAACTAGTGGTTTAACATGCTTTAACTCCATCAATTTGATGCTGATTTTCCGTGCTGATCTGTTGGGGCGTTCCTATCTGTTTGGCTTCTATAAATATTGGATGGTGTATATCCGTGTACATCCGCGTGTACATGTACATATACATATACATATACATACATACATACATACATACATACATACATACATACATACATACTTACATACTTACATACATACATACTTACGTACTTACGTACATACATACATACATATATATATATATATATCCAAGATACCTATTCAGATATATGGGTATGAATATTGGATGCTTTTCATAGCCTCATTGAAATCCGTGTCCTGCCTCCCATTGGGTGGCTCACCCTGGTTGATAGTCCTGTCATGTCCCCCATTTGGGAATGGTTTATATATGCCACCTATAACAATGGTGATTTTCCGTATTAAACCATATATTATCCCATTATTGTCCATATTAAACCATATAAAACCATATATGGCATTGTTTTACCCGCATTACTGGTGATTGATTGGCTGATATCCTATGACTACCTCCAGCTTTAGCCAAACATCCGGAAATCCAATTGAATACAGGCGGTAGAATTGACTCGCTGTTGATCGGTTGCCACGTGTTCCAGGTTTGCTATGCATTCATCTACTGTTTATGTTTGTGTGGAAAATGGTGCCCAAACTGTTTTCATAACCTCCGCATTCTTGGAATCAACAAATCAGATACCCATCCGACCGCCACGCTGATATTACCCATAGATGTAGATCCCCAAAATGGCAACTTCAACTGGAAATACACCATTTTGGGGGGAACATCCAGAAGTTTAAACATGTTAAACATGTTCGCCCCAACCCGGACGTTGCTCCACACTTACAATCGTCATCATCATCATCGTCATCATCATCATCATCATCATCATGTTTAAACCATTCTCAAGACAGGAAAAGATCAGGAATCCTCCCAGCCGCCGCGACGCAGCCGCCATCCTGTGCCATTCGCAGGTGTCTCTCTGCCGAACGCCAGCCGCGTGTCACCCTTCGAAACGGCAGATCCGATGCAAGGTGTGGAGATAGGAGATCTTTCTGGCAATCCATTGGTGGTAAACCATGGTGGATGTAGGGAATATTCCACATTCCATTGGAACCATGCAATTGGGGTGTTTAATATGAATGGGGGAGATTGTAAATGGAACCCCAAACTCATAATCTGGTTGGTGGTTTAAGGAACATGAATGGATTATGACTTGCCATTCAGTTGGGAATGAAAAATCATCCCAACTGACGGACTCACATTTTTCAGAGGGGTAGGCATACCACCAACCAGAAATAGTCTTTCTGGCAATCCATTGGTGGTAAATCAGCCGCAGAAGGTATAACGAACTCAAGTTTTCCTCGTTTTTTTTTGGGCCTGAGTTTTGTTGATTTGCCATCAACGGATGTAACATCAGCCATATCAGCCATTTTGCTGGAATGGGTAGGTTACTAGTACTGGTTGGTGGTTTCAAACAAGTTTTATTTTCCATGATATATGGGATAACCCTTCCCAGTGACTTTCATATTTTTCAAGATGGTTGAAACCACCAACCAGAGTAGGTGTTTTTCGCACCAAAAGATACCAAGTTCTTCCAAAAATGAAGGTTTTTCACCACGAAGAACGATGAACTGTGTCGGGTTGCCACCAATGATGGGGACCGACCTGTTGCGGGGTGACTTGATGACCAACGACTGGGACGTGTTTTTCGAAACGATGAATCTCCGATATCATGGTGAGATCTCAAGCCGGTTTAAACCAAACAAGTCAACAATAGAACCAATGTCAATATCAACAATTTTTCACCATGACCATGGTATCAACAATAGTATCAACAATAGAAATTGGAACCATAGTATCAATATCAACAGTAGAACCATAATAAGAAATCAACAAATTTGAACCATACCTCGCAGAATTTCGGGGAGGGACCTAAGCACGGGGAGATCACTAAGCATGAAAATGGAAAATGCCCCGAATTAATGAAGGTTTGAATGGGAAAAACATTCATTAAATGATATAAAATGTAAACCGTGGGCAACTAAAAATTCGGGAGTGAAGCGGCAAAACATGGGAAGTCTGAAGTCAGCAACAAAAGCTCAATGTAAACAATAGAATCCAGTACGAAACTCCATGGGTGTCAGGGTGTGTTAAATGCGCAGGGCTCAAAATGATTGACCCCCCAAATTGGAAAATTACGTATTTGTAGATCATTTGCCTATTAATCATATCAATTTTCGGGGGCTATCGGCTAGTTTACCGGCGAAGAATCCACCCTTTTTGTTTTGATGTGCCAAGTATTTCCCACTCAAACCTCCATGGAGATGTTCTGCTGCCCTCAGGGTAGCCAGTTTTCACCTGCAGATGATGAAAACGACCTAAGGATCACTACAGTGTCCAGCGAGGTTACGATATTCAGAGATTCACCTAGGGTTTTTTTGTGGAGGACGTACTGGGCGGTGTAACAACACCAATATTTTTCATGTTCAAATCATGTAAATAATCTTATATTATTCATAATTGTTCATCAGTTGTTTGTCATATGGAGGTTTCCATAGTCATGGAGGTTCCCAAAAATGTTGGTTTATACCGGAAAATGCCATTAAACCATAGTTATTAGAGTTATAAACCAACTTAGTTATAAACCATAAACCATGATGAAATATACCGGAAAATCCCATTAAACCATAGTTATGTTGGTTTATACCGGATGGTTTGGGGGGTACCCCTATTTTAGAAAACCTCCCAGCCTTTCCAATGAAATCCCAGCCTTTTGAAACGAGTTTGGCAGCCAGGTATGCTGCCCATGCTACCCGTGCCATGGATGGAGCTACGA